AAATCTCAAAGCAGTAAAGACAGCTGGGGATTTATAGCCTGGGAACATGTTGAGGGTGATGGGATAATTACTAAGAGACATCAAGGGTAGGGGGAGATTTTGCTAAACTGACTTAATAAGGTTCTTGCTGAACAGCAGCCTGGAGAGATCAGATATCAGTGATGAGAGATGAGTAGTTTGATTACATATTGAGAGTGATCAGATATCAGAGGAAGGAAGATTATCTGTAAACTGACTTAGCAGGATTACTTACTAAACTGGTCTCTACATGGATGGACAGTGAATCCCATCGTCAAGGCTTAGTTAAGAAGGGGCTGAGAGGAGCCTGTCTAACATCTGGTCAAGGGGACAACCTTTGTCAGTTTCCAGTAACTAAAGCAAAGGAAGAAAGTGTTGTCATATGGAGTTTGCATTGTCCAAAAATAGTAAATACCCATCATTCTCTCCACTTCCATAGAATTTAACTCAGGTCTGACTTCATAATTTGCATTGTCAGCTTTTTAATAAAAATACTCTGAAAGCTCTATGTAAGTAAAGTGGCATTTAAACCAAAGCAGTGAGGGAATGACCACGGCAATGCTTTGGAAACAAGCAAATACAGCTGCCTGGGGGCGTGCTTGGTGTGCTGGAGGAACAGCAAAGAATCAATGTGAGCAGACTGAGGCAGAAGGACCTGAGGAAAGAGGAATTCCAGAGACCATGTCATTTCAGGCCTTTCAGATCAGTCTTGAGATCTTTGGCTTTAACTCCAAATGAGATGGGTAGCCACTAGAGGATCTAAAATATGGTCAGACATACATTTTAAAAAGATCAGGGTACCTGCCTAGAATTTCAGCAACTTGGGAGGCTGAAGCAGGAGGGTCACAAGTTTGGGCCAGCTTCAGGAAGTTAGCAAGGCCCTCAGCAACTTAGCAAGACCTGGTCTCAAAATTTTTAATTTTTTTTATAACTGCAAGATAGCTCAATGATAATGTGCCCATTGGGTTCAATCCCCAGTGCCAAAAAAAAAAAAAATTAAAGTAAAAAGTTAAGGCAGAGTACTGTGATGAAATAGATTGTAAGAAGGTAAGGATGGCAACAAGGAGATCTGTGGGGAGGCTTTTGCAGTAGCCCAGGGGAGGCATCATGATGACCAGTTTCAGAGTAGTAGTTGTGAAAGTGGGTAAGTATTCTTCATATTTTGAAAGCTTTTCGAAGGTAAAGATGAAAAGTTGGCTAATGGATATGCCTTGAACCAGAAAAAATAGATAACTTGCATTAGTGAACAAAATAAAGCAGCAAAAATGAGTTGGGGGGAAGAACAGTAGTTTGTTTTTTTTGACATTTTTAATTCACAATGACTATTAAAATTCCAAGTGGAAGAATCAGATTGGATCTAGGTACATATGGTATTTTGGACCATTGGGTCTGATAACATAAAAAGTGAGTGAACAAAATAGATCTGGAAAGCAATGTGGAGATTCCTTAGAAAACTTGGAATGGAACCACCATTTGACCTAGCTATCACTCTCCTCAGTCTATACCCAAAGGACTTAAAATCAGCATACTATCATAACATAGCTATATCAATGTTCACAGCAGCTCAATTCACAATTTCTAAACTGTGGAATCAACCTAGTGCCCTTCAATAGATTAATGGATAAAAAAAAACAACTGTGGTATGTATACTCAATGGAATATTACTCAGCATTAACAGAGAATAAAATTATGGCATTAGCAGGTAAATGGATGGAGTTGGAGAATATCATGCTAAGCAAAGTAAGCTAGTCCCCATAACCAAAGGCATACTCTCTGATTAGTGGATGCTGATCCATAATGGGCAGAGGGGGCATGGGAAGAATGAAGGAACTTTGAATTGGGCAAAGGGAAGTGGGGAGGGGAGGGGATATGGAAGTAGGTGAGATGTTGGAGTGAGATGGACCTCATTACCCTAGATACATGTACAATTGCAAAAATGGTGCAGTTCTACATCATGTACAATCAGAGAAATGAAAAGTTGATGAAAAGTTGTGCTCCATTTGTGTACAATGAAATGAAATGCATTCTGTTATCATGTATAACTAATTAGAAAAAATTTTTAATGTTAATATAAAAAATAAATTGGATCCATGACCAAGGTTCCAAGTGATCGCTTATTTTCTCTATACTGTTTTCCCCTGTCTCTTCTGGTTGTTCAAGATTGGCTTAGAAGGCCTATTTTCCATTGCTGTCCCTTCTGTTCTTTCCTGTTGCTGGGCAAATGCCCACTGTGTGTGGACCTTACTGAATTGTATTGCACTTGCCCATTGACTGGTCATCTCCATTATAGTCCATGTTTCTTAAGGAAAAGGCCCACGGTGCATTCAAAACTCTTGAATGAAAGAATAAATAAAAAATCTTTGCACTTAAAAGGTAAAATCTGAGTGATATTTGTCCCTGCCAACCTCACCCACCACAATGCATGCTACTTTACTTTTGTTCACTAACAAACTAGACATCTTTATCAGCTGTTTAAAAGGAAGATACTTTCTCAACTCCCTCAAGTCTCTTGGCTTTTTTCTGTGCTGTTCCTCATGGAAAATCTTTCACCCTCCATTCTTTGATCTTCTAATGCCTTATAATTCATGAGGTCCTGGAAGTCCTAAGAGAGTGTACTTCCTGAAACTTCATGCTAATCAACCTCAGTCTTCTTTTTTGTCTCTCCTAACAGTCCATATTTGTGAATTAATATCATAGTTTAGGAATTTACAAACATCTCTGATTACTTATAGAGTCTTTTCCTTACTTGAATCTATGAAGACAAAAGATCGTGTCAATTTTATTGATTAATATGTATGTACCAAGCCCTCACTACTGTAGTACTTATTAGATCCTTCAGAAAGTTCTTAGAATAAATAAAAATTTATAATACATATGTTTATATTATTATCCATGTATATAAGCAATATAACCAATGTATATGTAATTTTTTTGATTATATAAAACTGTAACACCTTTTGATAAAAATGCTTTAATTTCTTTTTTCTAACTTTTGGAAAAACATGAGCTTATGGAATAAGAATTCGCCTCCTACTTGCCTTGTAGCACCTGGATTTTATAAGTATGTAAATATTTTCCCTTTTTACAGAAAAATTAATGCACTTTCCAGATCTGGACCTCCCTCAGGGAATGTTCCTTTTCCTCTCTTCAATATTTTAGCATGTGATATAGAAAAGTATGTCCAAAATGTGTAAGCTGCTTTCCATATTCAGTTTTAACAACAACAACAAAAAGTCTAGGAAACTTTAGAAAATATTTTAAATTACTAATTTAAGTGGAAAATTGTAGATCTATAAAACATTTTTAATCATTTAAAGTTATTTTATCTTACAGCTGTTTCTTGGTTGAGATAACAAATTCAATATAAAAACCTCATAAAAACTATTTAAAGATTTTTCAAACCAATAGTGATTCGGCATACACTTTTATACTAACCGAACTTGAAACATTTATATTATTTAAAAATACAAATGCATTTTTTTGTAAAATTAAGTACAGTTGTTTCTAAATTTATACCAAATAGCTATAGCTATTGAAACCTAGAAAATAGTAAGTATTTCTCTTTTGTAGGTATTAAAGAGTTTATAAAATTAAATATTATTAAATTGTCACTTCAGTTAATTATTTGAACATACAAATAGGGCAAAACTATTTCAACTAAATCAATTTAAATTATACTTTATCTCTCCTTTGCTATTGCTAATGTCTTTTCTTTGTATGGAAGCATTAGTGTAATTAGAGTTAATTAATCATATAATTAGAAGTAATAGACAGTTAGAAACAGAAAGAAAGTACTAGACCCCTTATTTCTCTAAGATTTCCTCTCAAGGACTCCCCATAGAGAAATGACAACATGAAAATCTCCGATCCATTATTTTATATGCTTTTTATAATAATAATCACCTAATCTCATTTTGAGAAGTTATATAAACTCCTTAAATATAGAAAAAAATAGTTTTGTATAGCAATAAGCTTCTAAATTACTAGTAGAATTAACAGAAAATTATAACATTGTGCTTGGCTGCTGTCATTTCAAAATGGCTTTTGAAAAATCTGTTTGAATTAATAAAATACATTCAATAAATGATTAATCTGATAATATTTCCATAGTACTTAATATTTTAAATGAATAGCATTCTTATATTAGAATAGATATACATTCAAAGCATACCTCTCATTTAATCCTCTAACACTGCAAATATAACTTGAAATTTCCAAAACCATAGGAAAAAGAAGGAAAAGAAGAAGAAATTTCGTAATGTGGTCACATTGAGAAGGGTAAAAACACTACACATTCTATTTAGCCCATACTATAAAATATAAATAGAATGTGTTTATTAAAATTTATTTGCCTCCCAACAAATATTTATTTCATGGACTGATACATTGAAACCTTTAAGGTTAAATCTGGGGAAAGGAAATCTCAATATAAATATAGAAGAATTATCCAGATGAACCAGAAAAAGAAAATACATTCAAAAAAAAATTAGCAATAGAAATAGAGATGTCTTGTTGAGTTTTCTAATGTGCTTTCAATTTTTCTTTTCCAGACTAAAGTTTTTAAGAGCTGAATTATTTCTAATAGTTTTCCTTAAGGAAACAGTGAATAAAATTTACTTCCTCCAGTGTTTATGAAGCTTTCCAATCAAAATTTGTCTTATATTGTTTATGAGTCATATTACTGGCAAGAGATGATACTCATCAATATGTAGATGTTGTTGTATCAATTAATGAAGTTTCTTGAACCAGCAGCTTAGCCCAAACTAGCAATTGCACTACTACCTTATGCACTAACAAACAATGTTCAGTGATATTGTAAAGATAAGCCACACTTGCCTATCAGAGGGTTTATACAGTGTAATATATGAAAATATGTTTTTTGGTTTCTCTTATTGAAATCTTTACTACTTATTTATTTCCTTTGTGTGTAAACAGTTTATTATGAAAATAATCTAATTTATGAAATTAATATATTTTTGCAGGTTAACCTCTTGGCTTTTGGAGTTATCATATACAAAGTCTTTCGTCACACTGCTGGGTTAAAACCAGAAGTTAGTTGCTATGAGAACATAAGGTTAGTGTTTCTTGATGCTCATGAACTTTAGTAATTAAAAGATTAAGTAGCTTGAAGTATCAATAATTTTTGGAATTACTGTTTTTTTTAATTGATTGGTTCACACTTCCTTCACCATATTTAAAATACTTATTGGTAAAAATATTTAATGTATGTAATTAGACTGTAAATACCACAGATTAAACAGTAAGTGAAGGAGTCTTTTCAAATATATTTCCTTTTGAAAGGGAAGAGATGATGACTATGTTTTAAGGCAAAAAAATAGGCCTTAAAATTTTCTTTTATAAAACATTTCTCAGTACTTAGTCAATTTTTCTTTTTCGTAATTCCTTTTGCATTTTGACATGATTTTTTTTCTTTAACCCTCTCTCTTTAAAACTGATTTATTGAGACCTCAAAAATGGTTTGTTCAGGAAAAGCTGAAGTGTACTATAGGGAACAAGGGAAACAGCTGACTGTTGGTGTTGCTTGGGAACACTCCTGTAGTTTCAATCCTCACCCAAGATTTATAGTGGGGATTTAGCAAATGTTTGATCGATTACTTTCTTTTAGTCTTCACCATTCATAGCTTCATGTTGTGTGCTGGTTTTAATAAAGTTGAAAATGACTCATTTTCTGGGGCACATTGCTAAAACACCTTCTGCAGTAAAGAATGATTGGATTGAAAATGAATGAGAATAATCACTAGTTACTTCATGTTCAACACACTGCCTTCAGTGAGCAGGATTGAATATTATACTACCCAAAGTCAGGGGCAATCAGTTGAAAATATGTAAGTCTGAGTATATTTTTTTCTATAATTTTTAAGAAATCAGTACTCTGACATCAGTTTATTTTGAGTTAACTACATTGCAAAAGCAGTTTCATATTCTACACTTTTCCTCCTAAACCTAAATGAAAAAGAGAAGCCTCCTTTGATGCTATGGCTATGTGCTGACCCAAGTCCACACTCAGTATAATTTTCAAAGTTTCTTGGGAAAAATACTTCTTGATAGATATATTTTATCTTTGGGAACTAACTGACATGTTACATTTGAAATCAAAGCATACCCACTGAAGTATAGCATATAAAAATGTTTTAAGATTAAGTAATTCCTGTAAAAATGCCATATTTTAATAGTGGGACTTTGAATTTAGAATCACATCCTGCCTCAGTGCAGTAGCAGACCCTTAAGACTGTCCCATCTAAGTACAGCACACACTTGTCAGTTTCAAAGTCATCAGTGGTCTTTGTCAAAGATTTCTTGGTTTTGCAAACAATTCATTTCCCATACACTTTGAGGAATTTGAAAGATGCACGGAATATACTTGGCTTTCTTAATGGAAACCTTCCAAACACATTTACAGGTCCTGTGCAAGAGGCGCCCTTGCTCTGCTGTTCCTTCTTGGCACTACCTGGATCTTTGGGGTTCTCCATGTAGTGCATGCATCTGTGGTCACAGCTTACCTCTTCACAGTCAGCAATGCCTTCCAGGGCATGTTCATTTTCTTATTCCTGTGTGTTTTATCTAGAAAGGTAAGCAATTTATTATTTTGCCAACACCATAATACATTTACATAGCATCAGCTAACAATTGATAGAAAGTTCATATTCTCATAGATTTATGACATAACTTTATTAATGAAATATAATGCATTTTAGAATTAAAAGAGAACACTAGGGAAGTATGCTTTTTAAAAAATTGCTATTAGATATGTGAATATAGATTAATTATTAAACTCTGATAATCAGAAGATAATAATGCTTTAGAAAACCAAATACAGTTTGTGATTTGAATATAATTTGATATGATTGTCATGATTACGATTAACATGTCTTCTTTTCATTTTCTTTTTTTCAAGATTCAAGAAGAGTATTATAGATTGTTCAAAAATGTCCCTTGTTGTTTTGGATGTTTAAGGTAAACATGGAGAATTATGGATGATAATAGCTGAAGGAAACCAAAAATCCAAGCTATGGATGACCAATGCATAAAAATGACTCAGTCCTATTCGCCAGTGATTAATCATTAGATGATCACAATTTTTAAATCACTTTTTCTGTTTACAGTCTAAGAAATATAGATAATAGGAGATAAAATAACATACCATGTAGTTATAGTATGTTTTCCCACATGCCTTAGTTAGTTATGTCAAAAATAGTATTGCAGATATTTGGAAAGTAATTGGTTTCTCAGGAGTGATATCACTGTGCCCAAGGAAAGATTTTCTTTCTAACACAAGAAATATATGAATGTCCTGAAGGAAACCACTAGTTTGATATTTTTGTGACTCATGTTGCCTTTGAAACTAGTCCCCTACCACCTTGGTAATAAGCTCCGTTACAGAAAAAGGAACATAAGAGAATGAAGGGGCAGAATATCAATCAGCAAAAAGGAAATGGCTGTTGTAACAGTGAAATGTACTTTGAATAAACATGCTTTTCTGTAAACTAGATGAGAGACTTTTGAGATAAAATAAATAATTGAATAAAAATCTCTTACCATTTTGTGAATTGCTCTGAACTTAAAATTTCTACGAAAACAACTTAGACCTCTATTTGCTATATCCATTTTCTTTTATAATATTCTAAGAAATAACTCCACAAGTGAAAAAAAAAATCTATTTTTAAGTTAACATTAGATTGAGGTATATGGTATTTCTATACTTATTTCATAGATTGTAACTTCAGATGCATAATCAGTAAAATATAAAAGTGTCAAAACATAATGTTGTTATGCCTGGAAGTGTAAAAATGGTATGTATAAAGCTGAAGGATTTTGTTCTATAACTTTTTAGTGTAGTGAAATTATCCTATCATGGTAGACTAGTACATTTGAATGCTTTATTATTTTTAATTTTAGAAATACTATCATTCACATTGCAATAGTCCCTTTTAATTTAAAGGGCATTGTAAATATGAAAGTATTCATAAAGTGAATTGCTATTTTTTTCTGTTCAGAAAAGTACACATTTAAAAAATGTTATTTATAACAAAGAAATCACTGAGAACTGTAGAAGTTTTCACAGTGGATCTATTTTCTAACAGTTTTCTATTATCTATTAAAGCAAATCTGCTTCAATGTATGGCTTCTATCTATTCTCAAATCTTCTTATTAAAATGTAGAAGCAGTGAGTTTATTTCAAAAGGTTGTAATTGTTCTGTACCTACCAGCCTGTAAAAGTGTATCAATATACTGAATATTGTGATTTTATATCATTTCCTTTAGCTATTAAAATGAAGTTTGTCAAATTTTGCTCTAACAAATAAAATGTTACCTAAATGAAGCAATTCTGTTCCTGCTTTTCTAAAATTTCTCAAGAAAGATGATCTACCTGCCAAGGTCTTTTTTATGCTTTTAGAGAATCCTATGAATAACTTTTAATTATAATTTCTTACTATCTAAGCCTGTGACCTATTATTATCATTGTCCTTACAGACTAGTTTTAAAAGGAATGTAATATTGAAAAACTAATCTATTCAATCAATGTATACAAAACCATGCATGGTAGGCAGAACACAGGCCTTCCAAAAACATTCACATCCTAATCTTCAAAACCTGTGAGCATGTGAGATTACAGGATGAGGGGGAAAGGGGTTATAGATGGAATCAGGGTTGTTAATCAGCTGACCTTGGGATGAGGAGACGATCCTTGATATCCAGGTGGGCCCAGTGTAATCACAAAGGTCCTAAAAGTGAAAGAAGAAGTCGAAAGGGACAGAGTCACTGTGATACAGTGTGACAGACTTCACCAGCCGATGCTGGCTTTGAAGCAGACAAAGTCCACAGACCACAGAATTCAGGTAGCCTTTGGAAGCTGACAACGAATGGCAGGGGACCCACTCTCCCCTGAGCTTCCAAAAGAAATCAGCCCTATAGACCTTCCTTCTAGTCCAGGGTTACCTGTGTTAGACTTCTAATTTCCAAAAATGGTAAGGTAATAAAATTTGTATTGTTTTAACCCACTAACCTCATGATAACTTGTTATAGCAGCAACAGGGACTTGGTACGATGGAAATATTCATGTAATAGCATCTTTAGAGTATTCAGGTGAAGATAAAGCTTAACTCCAGCATCACCCTCACTTATACATGGTTGAATAAAGCCTAGGAACAGGTATATTGCACAAATGGTATGACTTTATTTCGTGTAAACCAGAGAAGTGAAAAACTGTGCTTCATTTGTGTACAATGAGTCAGAGAGCATTCTGCTGTCATGTATAACTGATTAAACAAAAAAGCCTACATTCTTTAGCACAGCAGTCAAGCTCTTCTCATAACTGCTCACCTCCCCAGTTTTCATTTTCACCCTATTCCCAATTTCTTCAGTCTCACCAAACATTTTACTTTTCCCATGACTTACAGCTCACCAATTTATCTTTATCTGGAATTTGCTCCTGTGACAATCATTACTCTGGAAAACATCTACTTGTCCTTAGTGTATCTTTATCTGTGATAAATGGACATCAAAGAAATATAACTTCCCTGACTGAAAACTCACCATTAACTACAGAAACCATAATCTCTTAAGAAAAAATACCTGTTGGTTAAATGACTACACTGTGGTTAGGAAAGACTTATTTACATGTAATATACTAATTATTAAAAGTATAATAAAGCCTATGAGCAAATAGTTCCCAATCTACACACTAGTCATAACTAAGAAGCCTTATATGCTAATTTGTTGATGACATTTCTTTAGCCCTTTTTGATTCAATGCCAGCCATTCAAAATGAAAAAATATGTGCTAGTTTTAATTTTCTATATATGCCATCTACCTTACTATAGCCATCTTAAATGCCCTACAAAGTATCTCCCTTTAAGTATCAATATTATTGTCTAATTTTCCCACCATGAAAATTTGAGGAAATCATAGATTATGAATTGAATTCAGAATTTATTCAGAAAGAATCCCATTGTTCAGGTGTTCTTCTTCTGCCTGATGTCTTCTCCCATATAAACCATACGTACCCTTCAAGAATCCCCCCCTCTATGAAGTCTCTCTGATTTGGTCCTCATGAATTTCCACCATATTTAAAACTGTACTACTTACAGGGTACAGACTAGACTTCTTTGTGGAGTCACTATTCAGAGCTCCAGCTTAAACCTTAAGTTTTGAAATATAGATGTGAGAGAAATAACTTAGTATAGCATTGAAAGGCAAAGATTTCTTCTTGAAAGCTGATATAGATTTCTGTTGTTGAGTTGTGCTATCTCATTTAATTGTCACAGTAATATAGGCAATTCTAACTTCCTTGGTCGGTATATGAAAAGTGCTTAGTGTCACATAGCTAGGAAACTTCATAGTGTTAAAACCCAACATCCAGGTGGATAGAAAGTAAAAGTCTAGCTTCATGCCCAATATTTTTCCATCCCCACAGACACATATTTATGTAGTATAAAAACAATATTTCTGTTGCCAATTGTGTTCTCTAGTGGATGTAGGAAGCCCAATGCACTCTCTTTTTTGTGGGGGAAGGGGAAGTTGGGGATTGAATCCAGGGTGTTTTACCACTGAGCCATACCCCCAGCCCTTTTCATTTTATTGTTCTGAAACAGAGTCTTGCTAATTTGCTCTCTAAATTGCTGAGACTGGCTTTGAATTTGCAATCCTCCTGCCTCAGCCTTCTGAGCAGGTATGAGCCACTACCCCAGTTCATAATGTGCTTTAACACAGGATTTTGACATGTCTTTTCTACATATGCATGTAATTTGAAATAAGTGCATATCATATGCTTTAAGGGAAGTGATTTCCCATTTGCCCTTTTTCTATATATTTATTTCTAAACCTGCCCCCCACTCACTCCCTCAACCAGGCAATTCATTGAAACATACTGCAGTGTATTCTTCCATATTTTTTCCTGCTAATATCATTGTCTTGAAATCATTCACATGAAATCTCATCATGAGGACATTTCTGTCATTTGCTTTTCTGATTTGCTAGCTCATTTATTCTTTGTAGCAGCTGAATTCTATTCCATATTGAGTATGAACCATGAATTTCATAGCTAGTATACAATCTGGCTTAATGCAATAACATACTAGAAAGCTTTAGTGCCTTTTAGAAATAACATTGTCCCAGACATACAGGTTGGTTTTGTTGTAGAAAATAACAAATAAGGGTTTGTTTTTTCTATGACAAATGTGAACCATCAATGAATGTCTATAAGCTGAAACTCTATAACTGCTGTGTTTTGGATATGTTCCCCAAAGGCCCATGTCTTAATGTCTTTGTCCCCAGCCCCTGGTGCTGGTGGGAAGTGACAGGTCCTTTGATAAGTGAGGCCTAATGTGATGAAGCTAGTTCATTAGGGATGGGCCCTTGAAGGGGACTATGGGAATCTAAACTCTTTATCTTCCCCCGCCCCTTTTTGTTTGTTTGTTTCCTGTCTGCCAACAGGTAAGAAGGTTGTTCTACCATACACTCCCTACCATGATGTGCTATCTCAACATAGACCTAATACAGTAACAAAGGCCAATTGATCATGGACTGGAACCTCTGAAACTGAGTCAGAATAATCTTTTTCCTATTTGTGAATTGATCATCTCCAGTATTTTGGTACAGTAGCAGAGAGCCAACTAGCACAATAACCCTCTCACCCATGTAAAGATAGCTTGCTTGTTCTAGTAGGTATTCAGTGAAAATGAACAGATTTGAGATCCACAAATCTCCTTGAGCAGTTTCATTTAAATGAAAAGAACTTGAATTATTTACCATAGATTGTTGGTTTGAACAAGCACTGAGATCAGTGTCAAACTGAATGTGTGGAACATTTTACTTGGTATTTCATTCAGATGTTACATATCATAGGTTTGTATGATAGTTATGATTAATATAAAATGAGAGGGTGAGCTTAGCTGCAACAGATCTCTTCTGGTGCCAATGTACTATATTTCTAATTTCAACCTCCTACTTTGAGGCATTATAAATAATAAAATCTACAAAGTATATTACAATTTCATGTACTCAAAAAATAATAGAAAAAAAATAATAGGTTTCTTTCAAAATTGTCCTTAAGAAAGGTGGTTTCGTTTCCTATTGGGCTGCAATTTGCCATATATCAGCATCTGAGGGCCAGGCTGCACAACCTGAAATGATTATTTTCTTTCTTTTCCTTAATGTATCAGAAGTGGATCTAAAAGAACCTCCCGTATGCAGGGGGGTTAATTATCCTGGCAGTCAGTTAAGCTTTGGAAGTTTTAGGTGATAAGAACAGAGCCCTATAAAAGACTCCCTGCCACCACTGCCTACTGTGAAGGAACAGCCATGTGTTGCCACCACTGCAAATATTGTTCAAATTACCCTAAAATTCCCCTGCTTTTCTGTATAGCCTGGTTCCTGGAGAGTGGCGCTGTGCCGATGAGGTCATTTATTCTGTCATTTCAGCCCACTTGGCAATCATAACAACTACATCTTTCACTCAATCTAATGCAGGAGGTTTTTTTCTGCAAGACCTTATGTGACCAGAGTGAGGAAAGTAATTATTCAAAACAACAATGCTTCTTGCTCCCTGAGGGCCTCCAACTTCTCTGCAGAACCACCTAAATGTTCCCCAATTTGATCTTCCCACTCAGATCAATTTCCCAAATTCTCTTAAC